AGGACAAGTGTCCTCTGCATGCTCTTCGACTCCTATCTTCATGCCACGTCGCTTTTCCCAATTGCCAAATGAACTGTCTTCCCCTCCTTTCTTCAGATTCAAATCCACTTGTTGCTGATACAAGAGCTTTTCGGTCGAAACTGTCTTTAACTTAGAAAATTTTCTAAGTGTTTTTTTCCTTCTTAGTAAGGATGACTTCGACACAACTCCTTTCACAGCAAGAATGACTTCGGCACAACTCCTTTCACAGCAAGGATGACTTTGACACAACTCCTTTCACATACTCTTCTGTCGAAGTGTCTTCAGCTTAGATTTCTTCAATCTATTTTTAGCCAATAAAACCAATATATATGTGAGTGTCGAATTTAGGAGCCAACACTATCCAACTATCTTCATTTATAGTTCTTTCACGAAGCTACACCATTTATTTATGATTTACGAACAAAACAATCATGTATATTGATTTGGTGTGTCTTGGGCCGAATGCAAGGTTCAATAAGCAAAGTCCGTAGCAGCCGAATGCAAGGTTCAATAAGCAAAGCCCGTAGCAAAATAAGTGGCTATCATAGGAAGGATATGCAATTCAATTTTTCCTTCACATTACAAAATATCACTCATGAAATTACCATGTTAATCTCTCATAATCAATTCAATGGTTAACCTCATCCCGCACACATGCAAATTGCCAACCATTAATCCTATTTAAAAGAGAAAATACACCATTCTCCAAATATCATTCATTCTTATTTAAATTTTATTTCCCTCACTTACTGACTTTAGCCTCATCACCGTGAATAAACATCTTCATATAGTTTTAAAGTGGAACAGTAAGTAAAAAATGCTATATAGACCACTTATAAAAAATACAATCTTTATTCATATAAAATTTATAAATAAATAACATTTGCAAGTGGTATACACCAAATATGACTTGTACGCTTAGGAAAAAAATTGAAGTGCGAGTTACATGTGACGCATACAATTAGCATGCTTCATAAAAAGAATATAAAAATACAAATTAAATTATAAAATCGTATTTTTCGTGTATGTTACTTAAATTTTCTTTCTGATTGTAAGTTATGTATCTCCTATACACTTTGTAATTTTGGTTTCTAATAATGTGTGGAAGTCTTATTTTTGACGTAAGTGGAGAAAAAACCTAACGGTACCATCTTATTTTCTGGCATAATAAACCATAATTATTTGAATAGAAAATTTTGCAAAGTTTTGGATGTTGAGGTGCTTTTTGTATTCAAATATCATCATCAACATCATGATCATCGACATTTCTCTTTAATCTCTTTTGAGCTGGCATATATATACTAAATAATGATGATATTAGCAACCCAATATAGGTTAATTATATGTGTGTGTGGGAGGTATCTCCCCTCAATTATAACAACTTTAGTAGGGCCAAACAAGACACAAAAACTTATGTGCCTAGACTTGACTAAAGCAAAAGCAAATTTGGAGATCCAACCCAAAGCACAATATTGAACACAATGCTAGGTATAGATTCCTTTTCATAAAAGATAATATGAAAATGTGGATATTATTTAGGGAAAGTACATATGAATGTGAGTAACGTATGGGGATAATATTTGCTTTTTTCATGCCACTATTTTAGAAAACAATAGGAGCCATTTCAATAAGTCGGTGTGTGTGACGGTGTAACCCTAACCAAAAATCCAAATTCATCCTTGTTGGAGCCACATAGCATAACAAGAGTTTTTGGATTCACTAACATGTTAGAAAAGACGTTTTAAGTTGGCTTATTTGATAGTTGTGTATGATATCAATTTATATGGGTTGAATTGCGTTCATCATCCAATTTACAAGTTACTCTTAAAATTAAACTAAATCAAGTTAATTATTTAATTATTTATAGACAGTTGAATTTTCGGATTGTGTTTTAAATAAATAAAAATAAATAAAAAAAATTCAGTTGTAAAAAATTGTAATACAATTCAATATAATTAATCACATTTTTAATATTCAATTAGATGAAACAATATAATATTTAATAAAATTCATTGCATAACACTTAATAATAATAATAATAATAATAATAATAATAATAATAATAATAATAATAATAATAATAATAATAATAATAATAAAAATAATAAAAATAAGACCAAATTCACAAAATTCATTATATTATATTTGCAAGTTGAATTGAACACCTTTAATATTCATAGATTTTCGAATATAGGAGTTTTATATTCAAATCTTTTAGTTTAATGAGTGTAATTTGACATTGTTAAATGTGATATGATCACCTAATTCAAACTCAAAAATTAAGTTATATATAAATTGTTATTATACTTTTTTTAAAAGAGCCATGTGTCCCGTTGAACATAACCTATTAGTTGGAAGGAGCCTGTATTATATCATATATATTATATAATTTGATATTAATATAAACATACAAAGTTTATTTGGAATGAACTCAAGCATCTCAGCCGTAACTGGTCCCACACCTTACTTTGAGACTGGTCCCACCAGCTCATGTGTCTGGTTAGGTGGGCCCATTTCATCTCCTGCCTCCAATACAAAATCTAAAGTGGAGCTGGCAATGTTCTCAAAGTAACATTTTTCTCCACACAAAATTCTTACACCTTGAAAAAAAACCATTTCATATATCCAAAGTACTTTATTCCAATACACTAATCCACATAAAGCACTAATTACATAAAAAGAAATGCTTCACATTATAGTTTTGTAGTAATAGTAGTTTACTAGTTGAAATTTCATCTCTTATATGTGAATAAGTCGTACTCCCTCCATCTGTTTCAAAATTATTATAGTTTTAACAAATAATATTTGTTTTAAAATGGAAGCTAATCTCATTTTTTTAATATAAAAGTAATTATTATTTTTTAATTATACTCTTTAATTATCATTTTTATATTATTTTTAATATATTAATAAAGTTAATTTAGTAAAATTTATCTTTCAATTCAAATTTTATTTAATTTTTTTAAAAATATAATAATATTATCATAAAATATTATATTTTACTAAATTAATCTTATAAATATATTAAAAGTAGTGTATAGAGTAATAATTAAAAAACAAAATTAAAAAAATAATAATTATTTTTATATTAAAAAAATAAGAATGACATTCATTTTAAAATAATATTTTTATATTAAAATTATATTCATTTTAAAATGAAGAAAATGATATCTTATGAAAATGTAAATTTAAAATGGAGTAGTATAACATTAGTTTGACGAAAAACTCAAAAATATTTTCAACATTTAGATAGGCATATTTAAACTCACCACATTATATATTTGAAGAGAATATTTGAATATGTATATATGAAATAACATTTTTGTCAAAATTATATAGATTTCGTATCTGCATTTTCGAATCAATCCCATAAATTTAAATTCAGAAGTTTTTCAGAGTTGTATATCCAAATTGTTTTAAAATATATATTTTGACATCAAGTGCGGTGTGATACATACATGAGACATAGGAGGACCCAGAGGGTTAGGATTAAGCATATGTAGTAAGTTATGTTTTTTTTTTATACATTTACCGATATAATTATTTTACATTCCATACTTTCTTAACAATTTATGTATTATTTTTCGATATTTCTGAACAATTCATTCTTATGTTTATAACATTTTTTATTTGCGTGTTTATTACGTTTTGATCAAATTACATATCAAATTTTTGTGTTTATTATATATCGACATTGATATTTTTTTTATAAAAAATATCACAAATAAATCTTTGTTTTTTTTAACCATTATCCAAAACACTTATTCTCACGTTTTAAAGATATTTTTAAAGATAATCTCTGAAATAATTTTTTTAAACCACTTTAGAGTTTATAGTATATTTAGATTAAGAGTGTTAAAAAATATAATTAATTGAATTATATACTTAAATTGCACAAAAAAAACTAAATCATTTAATTTAAACAATTTAAATTTAATTTAAAACTGATTCAAAATCATTTTTTTATAAACTGATTTGAATATAAATTAGTTTTTTTAAAATACTGTTTTTTCGAAAATAAAAAAGAATAATTTTTTTTGAAAAAATAAATAAAATAAAGTAAAAATTGTTTTAGAAATTATTTTTTAAAATATAAAAAATCTCGAAAAAAATTTCTTTTACATAAAATCAAAAATATTTTTTCCGAAAATAAAATTTGTAATTAAAAATTTTTTCTTGAATTTTTATAAAAAAATTGCTGAAATAAAAAAAAACTTTTTGAGAATAAAATTTTTTCTTCAGAAAATCAAAAAAAAAAATTGTAATCACATTTTTTTCTCTAAAATAAAAAATTATTTTTTGAAAATAAAAAGTTTTCCAATTTTTTTTAATATAAACAATTTTAATTTTTTTTATAAAATTCAAAAATTGGTTTTCAAATAACTCCAAATATTATATTGATTTAAAATTACAAACTAATTATAAACTAATTTATAAATATAAATCAAATATAAATTATTTTTAAATTAAATTAAAACTATTTTAACACTTTATTAAATTTTTACTAAAATGATTATTAATAATAGAAGTAAACAGTTTAATTCAATACAATTCATAAATCATAAAAAAGATAAATTAGAATTTTCAAAAGTTTGATTCACTCCATAAAAATGTATTTAAAAAGTTCTGTATTTGAATTAGCAAATATGTTATCTTGTGTCTCTGACGACTATCAACTAAACTGATTCACATTTTCTCTATAAGAAAAAAGCATTTCATTAATATTGCTTGGAAATAAATTTACATTGTTTAATTTGTTTTGACTCAAGAACTTTATTTACTTTTTCCCTCTAAGTCCAAATAAAACATCTCTCTCTCTCTCTCTCTCTCTCTCTCTCTCTCTCTACTTTTGATCTACTCTATCGTTCTATCTCTCACCAAAATACAGTTTTGACATCTTGTCTGAAAACTCTATAATCCTTTACTTTTTTTTCTTTTGTACATAGAAAAAAAAAATACAGAGGAATCAATCAACAACCATGGCTGCCAACAAGTTTGCAACCATGTTACACAGAAACACCAACAAAATCACCCTTGTTCTTGTCTACGCAATCCTCGAATGGATTCTCATAGTCTTCCTTCTTCTTAATTCTCTTTTTTCATATTTTATCATAAAGTTTGCTGATTTTTTTGGTCTCAAAACACCCTGCATGTGGTGTGCTAGAATTGATCATTTCTTTGAGTCTGGAAAAACCATGAACCCTTGTAGAGATCTTGTTTGTGAAGCTCATGCTCTTGAGATTTCGAAACTCGGTTTTTGTTTAAATCATCATAAACTTGCTGAATTTGATGATATGTGTGAGGATTGTTCGGTTTCAGTTTCGTTTTCGTCGAAAAGTGTTGATTTTTTTCCATGGATGAAGGAAATTGATAGGGTTGAAGGTGGGGTTCAGAAAGATGAAGAGGGTTTAAGGTGTTCTTGCTGTGGTGTTAATTTTGATAACAGATTTTATCCTCCTTGTGTTGTGGTTAACCCTTCTATGAACATTTTGGAAAATTTGGAGTATGAACCGAATTCAGAGAAGGTGAATTTGATCAAAGAAGGTGTGTTTGTTTCAGAAGTTGATCATTGTTCAGATCACAGTAGATCAGGTTTTTCAGTCGTTCATCATGAAAATCGGGATAAGATTGAAGAAAAAAGTGGAATTCTTGAGTTGTTTGAGGTTGAGCAGAATTGTGCTTGTTCTGTTTGTGATGGTGTCAAGGAAACTATGGTTGATGATTTGTACAAGCTTGAAATTGGTTTAGAGAAAGGGAAAGAAGAAACCTTGGAAGAGGAAAGGTTGAAATTGGTTGTTCCAAAGGCTAATGATGATGGGGGTGATGAAGTTTGTGATCTGAGTAGTGTTGAGGTTGAGAAAATTGAGGAAGTTCAAACGAAACATCTTGATTTTTTCATTCATGGTGATGATTGCAGATTGATTCCTGTTGAATTGGTTGATTCCGGTGCCACAGAAAATGGAAATCAAAGTAGATATAACAAGGGGGTGGATGAAGGGTTTAGAGATAATGAAGATTTTATTCTTGACTTCCATATGAATAATACCGATGCGGAAGCGAAACCGTTAATTGAGAATTGGCACATTTCAGATGCAGAAGCTGAACCCTTAATCGAGAATTGGCGCATTTCAGATGCAGAAGCTGAACCGTTAATCGAGAATTGGCGCATTTCGGGTGATATTGTGGCAGAATTTTCATGTCAAGAGAAGAAAATTTTCTACAAGGTCAATGAGGCTGAATCAGGGTTACAAGTAGAACAAAATTTGGAGCAGAATCATCAAGATGAAGACTTGACCAAGGATGATAATGTTGAAGTAAACATAGAGAGAATGATGCATGGAGATGGAGAACTAGGTTCATATGTTTCTCTAGGTTGTTATTATTTTCCTTAGCAATTTACTCTTTTTTTTTTTTGTGTTTTGTTCTTGTGATTTTTTATAGGCAATCATTGGTATGATATACTTTGTTTATTGTTACAGCTTCTGAAGATGCATCACAAACTCAAAGTGACGAATTTGAAGCAGAAGTATCAATTGGGACTGAAATTCCTGATCAAGAACATGTGGATGAGTATCAAGGCCAAGACGTACTTTTCGAAACAAATCAAAGAATGCAAGACGATTCATCTACTAGCTCAGTCAGATTTTATGTTCAACATGATAGTGGTAAGCCTTGATTTCTTGTCCTCCGTTGCCTTAAATCCATGCTTAGAACCATGGACAGTTGCTGATGCGGTAGCCTCTGCAACCGCATTTGACTACAATTGTGGTGTGATTTAAAATCACGCGTGCAACCGCATTAGGAACTCTCAAACAATTTCGCCTATGTTTGTTCAGTTATTTTCATCAATAGTCAAAATGTCAGAAATCCCAAAACTCAATTTCTTTTGATGTAATGAAAAATCTTAACTTTAAGCGTCTCTCAACTGTATATTTCAAGTACCTCCCAATCAAAATTCAAACTGCAACACCTGCTACTGCAATTTAAAACTATGCTTAGAACCATGGTTCTAAATTGCGGTTGCAGTCTCAAACCTTGATATTGCGGGCAAATGGAGCTGATACAAACTCATTTGCACTTGTGATGCCATTGCGGAGACTTCTAAAACATTTTACTGCAGCCGCAATTTAGAACTATGCTTATAACTTTCTAATGACATAAGCTGAATTTATTTTCATTTATAAAATTTTGCAATATGTAATTAGGTCATGACAAAGGTGAAGAAGAGTTTGTAGAATTTAACACCATGTCACTTGAAGTGAGAATGCCAACATCAAGTAACCATATGCCATCATCTTTTGAGCTTAATGAGAACGAGGAGGAAAAGTTTTCTGACACACCGACGTCTCTCGAGAGTCTTCATCAACTACACAAAAAACTACTTTTTCTCGAGAGGAAAGAGTCAGGAACAGAAGATTCATTGGATGGAAGTGTAATAAGCGACATAGAATGCGGCGAGGTGACGCTTGATAAGTTAAAATCAGCCTTAAAATCAGAAAGGAAGGCTTTGAAAACTTTATACGCAGAACTAGAAGAAGAACGAAATGCATCGGCTGTAGCAGCCAATCAAACAATGGCAATGATTAATAGGCTTCAAGAAGAGAAAGCAGCAATGCAGATGGAAGCTTTGCAGTATCAACGAATGATGGACGAACAATCCGAGTACGATCAAGAGGCTATGCAGCTTCTGAATGATCTTATGTTAAAGAGGGAAAAAGAGAAGCATGAGGTGGAAAAGGAGCTTGAAGTGTATAGAAAAAAGGTTCATGAATACGAGGTAAGAGAAAAGATGATGTTATCAAGAAGAGATAGTAGCATAAGAAGCAGAACTTCATCTCTTTCTTGTAGTAACGCCGAGGATAGTGATGGAGTGTCCATTGATTTCAATCAAGAAACAAAGGAAGAAAATGGTTTTCACAACAATCATCAAGAATGCAGCAGCAACCAGAACACTCCGGTAGAAGCTGTCTTATATTTGGAGGAATCATTATCAAGTTTTGAGGAAGAGAGGTTATCGATACTCGAACAGCTTAAAGTTTTGGAAGAAAAGCTAATTATCTTGAATTATGAAGAAGACCACTGCTTTGACGATGATACTACATCGATAGAACATCTTCGTGAAGAGAACGGAAACGGATATCATGATGGCGGTCATGATCATGATCATGATGATCACCAAGGTCAGGTAAATGGATTTGTAAATGGTAATGGAAAGCATCATCAAGGGAGGAAAATCACGGCCATAAAAGCCAAGAGGCTTCTTCCTCTTTTCGATGCAATCAGTACAGAAACCGAAGATGTAGAGTTGAGTGGAGATGAAAATGAATTAGACTTTTCTCAGTTGCAAAAAATTTCGGCAGAAAAGGCAAATTTGGATAAGAAAAAGATTGGTTTAGAAGAGGAAGTGGATCATGTTTATGAGAGACTACAGGTGCTGGAGGCAGATAGAGAGTTTCTAAAACACTGCATCAGTTCATTGAGAAAAGGCGATAAAGGGTTACATCTTCTACAAGAAATTTTACAGCATCTACGCGATCTAAGGAATGTGGAACTCAGACTCAAGAACACAGGAGATCTTGCAGTGTAAAAATGTCTACATGTTCAACTCTACCAAAAATATGATAGGTAAATTATGCCAACTCTTTTTGATGTAGTAGATGTTATTTTGTGTATGTTTGCATTGACTTATTTTAACTTATTTACCGACATAAACACACATGAGAATTGCGATTAATTCACACTGTGAAGACCGCATACAGACCGAAATTGCGAAAGCCTTTATGCAACCGCGGCCGTTATTTAAAACCATGATAAAAATAGCTTCTCATTTGAAGAAGCTTATAGATTATTTCCACATTCTAACATGTCTTTATCTTATTTATAAATTGAGCTCTTCCTAAATGCAGATTTGTTATACTGTAGTAGATCATCATGCTGCAAACCAAGCATACATGAGCAGTGCTCTACAAAACAAACACAAGACACCAAATTGCATGCATCACTTCAAATTTAACACAAAAAAAATCAGTAGGATTCCCCAATGGAGAATGGAGAATCCTGGCAGTATGGTCTGTTTGAAACAATATGGTGGACAACAAAAATGAAGTCTGCTTTTTTGAATTTTTTGTTTCATTTTCTTTGTCCAAGTGGGCCCAAATTTTTGTGGGTTGTGTCCATCATGATTACCTTTATGAAAAAGGAAGATGATGAATATATGTGTGTGTAGGGTAGTGAGGTGAAGACATGATGTAAGTTGTATTTTGTGAGGAAAAAACCTGGCTTGCAAAGCTGGACAGATTCATAAAAAATTATTCCAGTGCCAGGTACATAGAATTTAGTTTATTATAGAGACAGAATTAATGTCACTAGTTTTGTCATTTTTTTATTATTTTTTTTTGTTTGAGGTAAGTGTGAAGATTGAGGTAAGTAGCCTCTTTTTTTTTTTTTTTTTTTTTTTTTGTATTATTGCATCCTATGAGGTTTGTTTCTTTCTTTCTTTAGACAAAAAAGATGAGTCACTTGTATACTACATGTATGTATTCATTTGTAATTATTATAAAAAAAAGTGAGTGTTTGTTTATATACTGCTTGGAATTTACTCTTACTATATTTTTAAGGCCTGCGAGTATTTGTATGAAAGAAGGTAGAGTCAACTCAAATTTTTGGAAGTATTTTTGGAAGTTCTGTGTAGATAAAGATTATTTATAATTTAACTGTAATAATATTTTATGAGATCTTATTCAGTTACTGCATAATTGTGACAAACTTTAAATCATATGTGGTGCAATTACTGTGACGTCCATCTTACACGTCTGCATGTTGTCATCATCTAGGTAACTATAGGCTAATTCGTGTATTCTGGATTAAACGTGTTGAAAGGAACTAATGAAAGGTTGCTATCTACTATAATTTTCGAGACAAAGATAAGTATTTTTTTTCTTCTTTTGTCTATACATCCCTGTCAATCTTGATACTTACAACCTTTCCAGTTTTGTAATGTCATTAAATGCACCGAAACTGTAGTGTATTTACTTCTATTTCCACAATAACAAATGCAAAATGATATATATATATATATATATAGTCAATCAAAATGACTAGTTAGTTATGCATGGTCTCTTAGTGCTAGGCACATATGTATACTCCAAGTGCCTCTGATCTTAGGTTATCTTAATTTTCTACAATAATTGTATTTTGAGTCTCCATGGTAAGTACCCTCTCGCTACCAGGAGGAGTTTAACTCTCCTGCCATTGACATTAGATGAACTTTCTAAGGATATTGTCCACCACGAAAGTGCGTCCTATTCTTCAGATGTGGTATCCGAAGTAAAATTGGCAAGAGTGTAGCTTTGAGTGCCTTCTGGGGTTTGTAGGTGATATCAAATTCTATTGGAGATATGTAGAAATATGATAACCTGTAACTTAGTAACCAAGTAACTAAGTATGGTAGTTAGTTAGGATTTACTAACTAACTTCAACAAACTAGTGTAACAAACTTATGCACGGTAGCTTCACTATATATTCTCCATGCATGGTTCTTCACTATATATTCTCCATGCATGGTTCACATTGTAAGTAATGAAGGAGATGAACACAGTTCTATTACTCTAGTATGGTATTAATCGTTTTAGAGACCCAACTTCTGCTCCATTTTCGTTCTACTTCTCCTTCTTCCTTGATCCATTTCACTGCAACAATCGTTTCTGAACCAATCATTTCTACACCATACATGTGCATGCAGTGAATCACTGGTTGCATTCAAGCTTCAGAGAAACTGCTTCATTATTGCGCCATTAATCTTCAAATCAAGCTTCTGAGAAGCTCTCATGGCGGATCAAGAAAGCAACATGGAAGATTCACAGAATATGGTGAGATCTTCGCAAGTTACAACATCAACAATGGTGCATTTAAGCCCAGGAAACATGTTCGCAGCGAAACTCTCAATCAAACTTCAAGAAAACAACTTCCTTCTATGGAATCAACAAGTTGAAGGGGTGATCTTATCCCATAAATTCCATAAGGTGGTTGTGAATCCACAAATTACAGTCATGTTCAAAATCGATAGAGATCGATTGTCTAACATTGTTTCAGAAGAGTATGAATCTTGGATCGTGCATGACCAAGCTATCTTCACATGACTGTGATCCATAATTTTTGAGGTTGTGCTACCTAGAGTTCTTACGTGAAAGCATGCGTACAAGATATGGGACAAAGTGCATAAGCATTTTCGCGCTCAAATGAAGGCCAGAGTTCATTAGTTGAACGCTAGACTGAGGATGATCAAGAAAGGTAACAAGATGATATATGAGTATGTTCTTCGTATTAGAGCTATTGCAGATTCGTTGATTGAGATTGGTGATCCAATTTTTGAAAGAGATCAAGTGGGTGTTATTCTTCAAGGGTTACCTGAAGAATACAATCCATTTATCATGATGATATATGGAAAAGCTGAACCTGCATATATCTATGAGGTTGAGGCTTTACTCTATGTGCAAGAGGCACAAATGGATAGGTATCAACAAGAAATCATGACTCCAAGTGCCACAACTAATGTTGTAAATGCTGGCAACAACAACTTTTTTGCTCAAAATGGAACTGGTCATGGAAATCGACAGTATTAGAGAGGTTGCGGTCGTGGCTTCAGGGGCAGAGGTTGTAACGCCCCGATAATTTAATTAATTATTTAATTAAAATTATTAGTTGGAGTTGAGCAATGTTGTGAATTATTGTTAAGTTGCTCTGTGACATTATTTGATTAAATGGTGGTTTAATAATATTAAATATATTGGAGCATTATAAGATTAATTGTTGGGCTTATTTAAGTGATGTCATGTAGTAAATATGGGAGTGTGGATATTGGCCCAATAAGAATTACTAGAATTACAAGGTTAAATGGATATAAAAGAAATTAGGTTAATTGAGAAAAAGTGAGAGAATAGATGGGAGAAACTCATTCTCGTTTTTATTGCAGCAGTGTCACTAAATCGGTAATCTCCGATTCGTTAACCGTTGAATCATACTCAAATTTTGAGGGTAGATTCGCAACACCTACATCTAACTTTTGACCGTTGGGATCTTCAAAATAAACTCTGAGTTGGGAGATATCATCATCGCACTGTAGCTGCATATTTGGGAAAATTTTCAGCTTTGATTCTGATCTAAAGAGAAAAAATCTTGGATGGTTTTGGTACAAGAGAAATTGCAGAGAAGAGAAAAATAAGGGTTTTGAGGAGAAGAAGAGAGATACGTGGAAGTTACACCAAGCGGCCAAGAGGAGATTCAATCGGAGACCCTTAGAATTATCTTCAGTCCAAACCAGGTAAGGGTGGGGTTCAATCTCTATAACCGGATATATGATAAACTGTATGTGGGGTTGAGTTGTATAAATTTGTGTCATGAATTGTTGTCGATTCGGTTATATTGTGATTCTGTGAAGATTATCAGCCTTGCAATTTTAGTTATCAGTGAATATTCATAATGTGTTGATGAAGTTCTGCCATTTATTTAAATCGTATTTTTGTTATGATGTTATGGCTATTGAGTTGTTGTCCTGAGATGAGACTCGAAAGAACATATAGACGTGGTGGAAAGACTATGTCATATCTTATATTATTATTAATAAGTTAATATAATTAGTAAACTAATTTAGTATCAGATTGGATTAAAGAAGTTGCAGGAATAAATTGTAATGCTTTAGTCAAATGAATAGCAGGATGTATATGTAAGAGTAGCATAAATAATAGTGTATGGACTAATTTAGCTGAGCATTGTTAGGAAGTATCAATAGATGTAGAAATTTCAAATTATCATACATAAAGTATAACGGAGAATTTCAGTAATAGAAGCAATAAGTTGAAATTGGTTTTGGTTTATAACTAATATTTGTCACTGGCAGGAAGTTGTAGTAATAGAAGTTGTAGATATCAAACAAGTAGTTTTGGCAGAGATCAACAATAGCAGTAAGCTAAATAACAGAGGTAGCGTAATTTAGTAGAATAAATTGATTAGTAGCAGTATAAATAAATAGTAGTAATAGTATATAAAATAGTACCGATTAGCCGAGTTTGTAGATTTAGGCGGTAAAAGTAATTAATCGGAATTCGTTGAAATTGTCGGAGTGAGTCGTATATACATATGGGTATTTTTAGTTGGTTTGTTTTGTTATAATTATGTAGAATAAAGTTGATTTGCAGGTGAAGTCGAATTAAGTTGAATGGTTCCGGTTTATGGAATTGTGTTGTATACCTTGCTAAAAAATATGAAATTGCAGGTGATAATGAATTTGGTTGAATTGCCTCTATTTATGGGCAATATTATGTTGTAGGCCTATGACCAATGTTGAGATGTTGTGTTGTTATGATTGTCTCTGTGAATTCTTGTTGATAATGTGAAGTTGCAGAGATTTTAGATGATGATGAATTACCTCTATTTACTGGTAATAATGGTGATGTGGGATTATGCCTTGCGATGAATGATGATTGTTGTTAGTATGTGATGATGCATTCATTGAGTCGCATAAATTTGCATACTCTGTGATGGCCTGTATTGGCGAATTTTGTGAAGGTCAGTATTGACAAACTGTGAAGA